ATTAAATTGTAACTGTTTTAGTTCTGCTGCATGAACTTGAAGCCATTTTGAACATTCAAGGTCAGCTTTGGGTTGGAGTAGCCTACTACTACTACTATACTCAGAAAACACTTCTTGGAGATGTGGATCACATTCTCATCAATCTCACATTCGACCACTGACTGCACTGAAAGATGTTTCACCCCTTCATCTTCAACTCACCCTGTGCCCTCTATCAATGATCATCACCTTTCAGGTGAATGGGATGACTGAAGAGGGGGCAGGTTGGCAACGATCTCCTGATATAAGAACTTATTCCTCTCTATGTATTGCATGACTCTATCTGGCACCAGGATGTTGCTATAGGTCTTACTATGAAAGACCAGTCTCCTGATAATGGGAACACTTGTGGTATAAGCTTATCCACTTGCAAGAACATTGCCTGGCCTGGCCATAGGATGGATGGAACCAGCCCTTATAGATGGGGAGAAAGTGGAAGTTGCAGTGCTTCCAGCACTGCTCTCTGCCTGCCTATGCCACAACCTAACAAATAGCTAGTATTTATATGGTACTTTAAATTTTACAAAGCATTTTACATTATTATCTCACTTCAGAAATGTACATACGTTACTTCATTCGATCCTTCCAATAGCCCTGTGAGATAATGAGTTGCCATTATTATCTTCATTTTACAAATGAGGAAACCTGGATATAAAGGTTAAGTGACTTGCCTAGGGTTTCACAACTAGTAAGTGTCTAAGGAATTTGAACTCAGGTCTTCCTGACTCTAAATCCAACATTTTATCCATTATGCCACATAGCTGCAATTCTGGAATACTGTCCTATCACTCAGATTTCTCAAAATAGTAGCTAAAACCTTTCAAGAAATCTCTTTATGATATTTCTTTGCAAGATAAAAGTTAAAATAGTTCTCTCAGGAAAGAAGTTCTTTTCACCTTCTTTGTGTACCTCACTCAGTCTCTCTCTTTTTAAAAATTTATTTAATTTTATTTTCAGTTTCAAATTCTCTCCCTTCCCTTTCCCTATCCATTGAGAAGGCAAGAAAAACAAAACCCATTTCATATATGTATGTATGTATACACATATATGTATGTATTGTCCTTCAGTAGCCATTCCAAGAAGCCAAGAGGGAAGGAAGGAAGGAATGGAAGGAATGGAAGGAGAGAATGAGTAAAAGAAAAGATGTTTCGATCTTCACTCTGAGTTCTCAGCTCTCTAGAGGTGGATAGGATATTTCATCACCTTGGTTTCTCTTAGCCATGACTGTTCACAATTTCTGTAGAGAAGAGAATCAAACTGATGTCCTCTTAAGATTCAATTACATCTTAAAGCTATAGTAACAGTATCTATAGTCTTTGCAAGAGAGGCTGTTTAGTTTCTTTGTTTATTTTGGTGAGGCAAATGGGATTAAGTGATTTGCCCAGGGTTACACAGCTAGTTAAGTGTCAAGTGTCTGAGGCTGGATTTGAACACAGGTCCTCCTGACTCCAAGGCCAGAGCTCTATCCACTGCACCACCTAGTTGTCTTGGAGAGAGGCTATTTAAAAGAGTTATTAGACTCTCTATTACTTTTTCTTTTTGCTGTATTTGCGCGTGGACACATACAAATGAGTAATGCAATGGTCAACCACATTATTTTAGAAAATTGACTTTAAAACAGGTGTGAAACAGAAAGCAAACAAATACTTCACAAAAATTGGAAAGCAGACATTTGTCTTTCCAGAGAATGGAGAGTGTAAAAGGGAAAGGTTTGGGAAAGTGAGGAATGGTTCTCAGCAGCCTGAACCATTCCTGCAACTCATACTCCAAGGGCTTCTGGCCACACCATTCTTATCTTGGTGTCTTTGCAGAAGTTCCTCTCCAGCAGTGTCTTTGTTTCCCCAGCACTTAGCACAGTGCCTGAGTCACAACAGGTGCTTAATTAATGTTTATTGATTGATTATTTGTCTGCTCCTCAGCTTCTCTCCTGCTCACCTATTCCCTGACGTAGGAGCCTGGGATAGGGCTGGGGGTGGCAGTGGATCTACTTGACTCCTCCTCCCCAGGGAGTCATCCTTGCTTTCTCTTCTACAAGGCTGCCTGTTGCAGCAGTGAGCTTACCATCTGCCTACCTGGGCAGGCCTGGTGTCTCCTTGCCTCATCTAACATACACCATCACTCCATGTTTCCTGGGTCAGGTGCATGGTATTGTATCTTCTACTTATCCTTTCCCTCATGATTTGAGGATGAGCTTGTCAATCACATGTCCATGCATGTTCGGGCCATGTCATCATGAGAGTCAAACTCCCCTCAGGATTAAGGAATGAGTAAAGCTGGGAGATTCCCATATGACCAGCAAGTTATTCGTATATGTTTGGCAACCTGAATGAGTGCTTCACAGAAATTAATCAGTGGGGTCAAAGTACACTCTTGAAGAGAAATCAAAGTCCACTCTTGAAGAGAAATCCAACAGCTGATGCCCCTCCCCCATTCCCTTGCTAACAAACCTGTATTAGAAGTGACCTCATTTGTGCTTGACTTCAAGGAAAGGGAACATAAACTATCACTTTAACCATTCCTTCTTTAATAGACAAAACCCAGTTCAAGTTGAGTGGTTGTATTTTTTTCTTCAACAAGTCCCAAGCTACTTATATTGGGAAAGTATTTTTCCTCCTTAATTAAGGATCATTTAGTAAAAAACATTGAGGCAAGTGTAAGATAAGTAATCGTTGTTAAAGTGGATTCCCCCTTGCTCATTAGAAAAGCCTCAGACTGGGACTAGGCTGATTCTCTATGCCTATGCCTTGCTCCAGGCTATTTTAAAACTAAGCTGTTGCATAGGAATTGAAACCACTTAGAGCAAGTAGGGTCTTTGTGAACTGGATAATAGAGCTTCCCGGGGGGCCTTAGAGATCATCTAGCCCCACACCTTTCATTTTTAGAGGAAGAAACTAAAACTCCAGAAGGTGAAATAAACTGCCTATAGTCATGCAGGTAGCAAGTGGTCAGGGATTGGATTTGAGTTGAGGCCACAGAATCCTTTCATCTTAGATTTGGAAGGATCTTTGCAGGTCGTTTAGTCCAAACCCCACTTGAAGCATAGATTTGAATCCCCACCCCCTACATAACATCACCATCAAAACCTTATTTAGTTTCTGCTCAAACATCTCTAATGATTAGATACCTGGTCTTTCTCAGGACTGTCCATTGCATTTTTGCACAGCTCTTTATCATTAGAGAATTTTTCCTCATATCCTCTGACTCCACTTCAGGAAGACACCCAGGGCAGCCAGACGGCTGATGATGAGGTCATCAATTCCCAAATGACTGCACTTCTGGACTACATTGAATCTCAACATCCTGCAATATCACATCAATCCTAAAATTCACAGGTTCTCTGTACCACCCCTCTCCATCCCTGAGGCCCCTCCCCTCCTCTAACCAGAGTGGAGAATGGAGAGCAGAAAGCTTCTTCCCAGATCCTCTGTTTAAGGAAAGCACCTCTTCATTTCCCACTCAGCTTTAGTCTTGTGGACTTCACCATCCCCACTCTACTCTTCCTTTCCTCCCTTTTCAGCTTCTTTTTATGCATCGTCTTTGTCTGTTAGATTGTGAGCTCCTGGAAGGCACGGAGTATCTTTTGTCTTTCTTTGTATACCCAGTACTTAGCATATAGTAAGCACTTGTTCAGTTATTCATATCGGAGTCTTGGATTCCATGAGAGGACTTCAAGGACCATATTATCCACAGGATTTTCTTGGCAAAGATATTGGAGTGGTTTGCCATTTGCTTCTCCATTTGCTCCAAGCAAACAGAGGTTAAGTGACTTGCCCAGGGTCACATAAGTATCTGAGGCTGAATTTGAACTCAGGTCTTCCTGACTTTAGGCCTAGTGCTTGATACACTGAGCTGCCCAGGAAACAATAAATATTTATCGACTGACTGGCTAACTCCAAATCCAATGTTCTTTCAATTAAAAAAAATTATCTACATCAACTTTATTTTCCAATATATCTATCCCCTTTCTCCAGCCAGAGAGCTATCCTTTATGACAAAGAATAAATGAGAAAAAGAAAATAAAAATAGTTCATCAAAACTAGCCACCACACCAACCATGTCCGACATTATTTGCAATTATTTGAAGGCCTCTATCTCTACAAAGAAGGGAAAGAGGTTCATTCTTTGGGGTCAAGCTTGGTAATTTTAATTACATATCATTAATACATAATTAACTTTGTATTTTTTTGTTCTTTCTTTTAAAAAATATCGTACTCATTGTGAATATTGTTTCCTGGCCAGTGGTCTTTCTACCACCCTAAAACATATCAGCATTTTTGTTGTTGTTTTTGTTGTTCTGGAACTATGATTTCATCAGTATAGGGAAGGTTGATTGTGGAAACTCCCTGTACAGATGAAAATCAATAATTCTTATATAACTTACAGTCTTAGAAAGTTGCCTGGGGCCACAGATAACTGAAGTGACTTGCTTATGGACATTTAGCCCTAAGCATTTCTATCTATCTATATATGTATATACATATATGCATATACATAGATGTGTGTATATCTACATATGTGTATGTCAGAGGCAGGATCTGAAGCCAGATCCCCTAATTTAGTTATCTTACCATTCTTTGCCTCCCCTAAACATCGTCTCTCTCTTCCTTTAAGATTTGGCCTTATCTTTTGTATGAAGCCTCTCTTCATACTCTGAGCTGCTAGTGTCCACACTCCCAAGATACCTTGAATTTAACTACCTTATAATTAATTAGCATTTATTCACTTTATATTTATTCTGTATGTATATGTTCTTTTTGATTACCGCACTAAAATGTTAAACTCTTTATGCATAGGGATTGTTTTATTCTTTGTACTTGTATCTCCAGTGCCCAACACAGTGCCTGGCACTTAGTAAGGCCTTAATAAATAGCTGCTTAATGATTGCTTGACTAGACCACACTGTCTTTCATGCTCCCACTTGATCATGTAGGACTCAAATACTAAACAAAAAGAAGCAACAATACCAAGAAACCTGGTTTATTTAGCTTATGGGTATTTAGGCCTTTGCTCTTTACCTTGCTCTGGATGCAAATGGACCCAATCAACCTAGGAATTCAAATATGAGATAGAAACCAAAGGATCCTTTTCCCCTTTCATGTACATAATGAATTTCCAAAGCAAAACAAAAACCAAAGAGACCTGGAAACTGCTGCATGACAAAAGGGTCATTAGGTTGTCATTCTGTTCTAAACTGCCTTGAGGACTCTAGAGAGACAGGAAAAAAAAAACAACTTAGGGTCTTGAGACCTTTTTGAGAAGTCCAGTTAAAGAGTGAACTTGGGTAGTCACCTTTGTTAAGAAAATTTTCCCCTCATTTCTTGATGAAAGAGGAGAAAAAAAGAGATAGTGCTTCCCAAAGCCCTTTTATATTCAAATGAAGAATAGCCTTGATAAAAGAGGAAAATTACCAAGTATAATCAGGAATCTCAAAATGTACATATCTGAATCAGTAGTAAATGGGGTAGAAAGTCTTCAATGTAAAATCACAGTTCTTTATTGTATTTATTTATGCTTTATTCCTCCTTTTTAAAAAATCTACATGTTAAGAAAAAGTTAAATACTAATATTTTGAAAATTTGCATATAAGATATATGGGCTCACTTTTAGGAAAAGGTCTCTTGAAAAATCCAGTGTAAAAATATGTTACTTTTTCATACGCTAGTCTAGAGTCATAACTAGAATTTTTTTTACCCGGGGCAAAACCCAGGGAGTAGGGTGAAAAGGGATGAGGCTGGGAGGGAAGCCCGGAGTGAATAGTCTCTGAGGGTAGCGGCTGTATCTCATAGTTGTGCTGGTAGGAGACTTCAAGACCAGGCTTGGAGATGGAGGATCCCATAAGGAGGAAGTATGCCTTGAATCCTGTGGCAGAACTCTGTCTGCTTTCCACATCCCCTTACTAATTTAGACTCTCAAAGCAGGAGACAGTCTTATTTTTTAACTCTCAAAGATGGTAACATGAAGCAACACTTGATTGTGTCCGTTTGATATATCTTCTTTGTCCAGCTCAATGATGATACACAAAGGACCGTAACCTAATGAGAGTATCCTAAAATGAAATAATAAGAAATATTATTCAAGAATAAATGAAATTCAGTGGCAGATGAAAGAATAATATACTGTAGAGAATGTTTCCTCCATTAAATATTAGCTATTAGCCTTGGGGAGGTAAAGTCCTCCTCCAATGTGCTGTTCCCAGCGCTCTCTCTCTGTTTCTAAATACTTTATTGAATGAATGAAATTAATGAGACAGCATTTCTTAATTATTTGCCACGTGAAAGCACCACGCAGAGGACAGGAATATAAACAGAAAAGTAAGATAGTTCCTACTATCAGGGAGCACATATTCTAATAAGAGAAGATAACACAGATAGGAGGTTCCAGCCACAGGCAGTTGGAAAGGCCAAGTGGTCCTTAGTTGGCAATGGCAAAGCAAACGGTAAAGCATCTTCTTCCATGTCACTTCCATTGATAAGACCATATCTTTTTTTTTTTTTAATCATTGATTCATTTGATGCTGTCAAGAACTTTGGTGATGAACGCTTTTTTTTCCCCCCTGGGTCTTTAGTAGCTGTGGCTGCTGAGGAAGCAGAGGCTGTAACACCTGTGGAGGAAGTTGCCAAGTTGCATTTTGACAAGGGTTAATTCCTTTCATTATGGCTTTGGGGGCTGGGCTAGAAACAGAACTAGTGATCAGGTCCATGGGGAAACTGCTATTCCTGTGACTCTCAAGCTTATGACAGTTGTCAACAGCTGGTGCGGAAGGTAGTGAAGATGTTAGGTCTAAGTGGTTGTTCCCCTCAAGGACAAGGCTCTTGGGCTTAGGGTCCTGTGCTGTCTCCATCAGCATCTAAAAAGAAATGGTGATCAAGACCCTGGCAGGGTCTTGAGTGGGCCACCTAACTCTAGCTAGTAGCTATGTGGGAAAAGTTTTCAGTGGAGAGCATAGATAAATTTCAACTTCTTCCAGAAATACAGAGTTTATCAACAAGACATATTTCTTCTCCCTATCAACCTCATCATGCTTGTAGCTTTGTTTCTACTCTTTCCTAATGTCACTCAAACAAGAGACTGGGATGTTCTACTTCTGTACTTATTTACCCTCGTTATATTATCATTGGGATACAATGACATTTATTCAGTCATTTCAGTTGTCAGACTCTTCGTGACCCCATTTGGGGTTTTCTTGGCAAAGAAACTAGAGTGGTTTGCCATTTCCTTCTCCAGCTCATTTTACAGATGAGGAAAATGAGGCAGATAGGGTTAAGTGACTCGCTCAGGGTTGTGCAGCTGGTAAGTGTCAGTGGTTGGATTTGAACTCAGGTCTTCTTGACGCCAGACCTGGTGCCCTATCCATTGTTCTATCTAGCTGCCCTACATTGGCATAATCTCCTACATGTTCAGTTCAAGTTTTAGGGAATATGCTCCTCAATCTATCATCTTAGCAATATTTTTATTGTGTTTGTATGTCAAGTGACTCCATTTTGTCCTTGAGAGTTTAGCATTCCTGTGGCTTCTGGGAGATAGCCTTCCTCCAGCTAACATCGAAGAAGCCTTGTTTATACTTCAGCTTCAAAGACTGTTTCTTATTCACACTTGGATATCTTAAGATTAAATGCTAGTGTAAATAAATTTTAGCCCACTCCTTCCAATGTCAAAGACCATCTAATCTAAACACTTTGGTTTAAGTAGGTAATGAAGCTGAGGTCTTGGAAGGTATAGTGAGTTGTGAAAATCACAAAGGTAGTAAATACCAGAGGTGAGCTTTGAACCCAGGTCCTCTGACTCCTGAGGTAGCATTTTTTTCTACTGTCAAGGTTTCCTGTCAGTATGGTAGACAGGAAAAAGCAATGGATTTGGTGTCAGGAGACCTAGGCTCTATCGCTTATTTCTTTTTATTTTTTTTAAGGCAGTTGGGGTTAAGTGACTTGCCCAGGGTCACACAGCTAGCAAGTGTCAAGTGCTTGGTCTGAGGCCAGATTTGAACTCAGGTCCTCCTGACTTCAGGGCCAGTTCTCTATCCACTGTGCCACCTAGCTGCCCTCTATCACTTATTTCTTGTGTGATCTTAACATCTCTGGGCCTCAGTTTCCTCATCTGTAAAATGAGGGGGTTGGATGGCCTACGAAGTCCCTTCTATTCCTAGATATATGATTGTATTATCCTAGGTCCTCCTACAACTGGTATATGGCATGGCTCTTCAGGTGAAACTACCCCTTTGCAAGAGAAATCCTTCATTATTGTGGGCATAGTGCCATCCCTACAGAGTGCAAATACTCCAGAACTCCCTTGTTTTGTCAGGATACACAATTCTTCCTGTGTCATAGTTCTAACACAGGGCTCTGTCAGGCACTTCTGCTCATAAAGCTTTACCTGTTGCTAATGGACTTTGGCTTCAAAGAAGTTTGCCCAGGGATCAGTGACACCCCGTCCCTTATCCTTTCCAAGTAGGTCTCAGTCATTGACTGACACTAGGTTCAGACTCACTGAGTCTAAAGCCCAAATGTCCTCTCTTAGTCAGGCACACCCCCTCAAGTGAACACTTTCCATAATCTGTGAGTTTGACAAAGTAACCCCTTCCCCCATTTCTCCTCTCTTGTGGGTCAGATGCCAGAGAATCAAAGGCAACTGGGTGGGAATATTCAAATTACTCTAGGCTGGAACTACCCCACCTGGGGGAGGGGAACCCATGCAGTGTCCCATCTCTTCCCAGTGCCTCTTCCCTTTTCCCCAATGACACCAGCCACTAGGAAAACTGAAATAAGAAGAGAAATAGCCCCCAATTACATTTCTAAATCACTTATAATTTGCTTGTTGAAAGAAAACATGGCTACTAATAGGTTAGAAGCCTCCAAATATAGCTTGTAGCTTCTCTGAGGAAAAGATCTATTCTTATTTTTTTCTCTTTAGTTTTACTGAATGTATAAGAAACCACTTAGGTTTCTGTACAACTTTTCTACTCTTTTTAAGACACAACTCCACCACAGGAGATGGGTGAAGGGGTGGGTAAAATAATTATTGAACAGTGAATTTTGAGACAATAAAAGCCTCTATAAATAAAATCTATTGTTATGCTTTTAATTGCCTGAGCCAACCAGGTTGGAGTCCTCAAACGCCACAAAGGGAGTAAAAAAATCCTCTGGGATCTTGTTACATTTCCAACTGAGGTGACTAAATCTACTTCAATTGCTGTGTCCCCCTTGTATTCAGAGGAGCCCTGCATGTGGTTTAGGGTCCAGGTGTGTGCTTTCTCTTGACACCAGATTTGGATCTCCTGGCTTCCCCTGCTTCCTACAAGCCCCAGTGAAAATCCCACCTTCTTCAGGAAGTTAGCAATCCCTCTTAATTAGAGCACCTTCCTTCTGCTGATTATTTCCTGTTTATCCTGTACACAGCTTGTTTGTACATAGGTATTTGTGTGTTGTCTCTCTTATTAGATTATGAGCTCTTTGAGAACAGGGAAAGTCTTTTGCCTTTCTTTGTATCTTCAGCACTTAGCAAAGTGCCTGGCACATAGTAGGTTCTTAATTAATGCTTATTGACTGACTATATCTATATTCAACACACAATATTGTGGCATCAAAATAATAAAAGGTAATAGTTTGTAAATCCTCCTGTCAGTACCAAAGCTCCCCCAAAGATCTGCATTTTCCCCTCATATATTGTGCAGATAGGAAAATACAGGCACCGAAAGGTTTAACAACTTATCCACTCATTATTAGTAATTGACAAAGCTAAAACTAGAACCCAGAGCTATGATTAGGATAAAGCAAATGGGAAACATGCACATGGATGGATGGATAGATGTATAAAAATGTATGTTTATATTTGTCTCCACATAGTCAAATTTATATACATACACACAAATATTTGCTGAGTATACAGACTACATGAGAATTTTGAAAGTAAAGAATGTACTGTGCTCTAAGTCAGTGAGGAAGACTCTGGGAGATGGATTAGAGTTGGTCCTCCTTTTAATTCTATCCCCACACTTACTTTGTATTTATTTTATACGCACACATACATGCATGCCTATATATACATATATACATATGTGTATATATACATATATTATCTCTCCCCATCCAATGTAAGCTTCTTAAGGTCAGGATTGTTTAATTTTTGCCTTTATATTCCCAATACCTAGCACAATAGGGGCAGCTAGGTGACTCAGTGGATAGCCACTAGCCCTGGTGTCAGGAGGACCTCAGTTCAAATCTGACCTCAGATACTTACCTGCTATATGACCCTGGGTAAGTCACTTAACCCTGTTTGCCTTAGTTCTTCATCTGTAAAATGAGCTGGAAAAGGAAATGGCAAACCACTTCCATATCTTTACCAAGAAAACCACAAATGGGACCATGGAGAGTCAGATACAATTGAAATGACTCAATATCAATACCTAGCACAATACGTGGCATATAGTAGTGCTCAATAAATGCTTGTTAGTTGATCTGACCCAGGCTAAATACCAAGAAGCAATCATTTCATCATGATAAAAGCTGACATTTATGCAATGCCTCACTATTCTCAAAGTTTTTTTATATATGTACATAATCTCATTTAAACCTCATGATGACTCCATGAAGTAAGTACTCTAAGTATTATCATTCTCATTTTGCAGATGCCCAGGGTTCGTGCCTATGGTGGCAAGAACACAATGTAATTCTAAGGCATTAACAACAGTACTCTGAAAGGCCACAGAATGGAGATGTCACTTTATGTGGATAATCATTTTCCTTTACAACATGAGGACGCTCTTTAGTTAATAGAGCTGAAAATGGGAGTTTTCCCTGCCATTGTAGATGAAGCACTGGGCTGAGAGTCAGAAGATTTGGGTTCCAGTCTCAGTTTTGCTCTTCCCTAGATGTGTGACCTTAGGCTAGTCATTTAACCTTTTGGAATTTAGTTTCCTTCCTTTTAAGATGAAAGGATTGAACTATATAATCTCTCAGGTCCCTTCTGTCTCTAAAATTCTATTATTTATATCCATATTAAAAAAGGAAAATATTTCTTTGTTACCAATTCTGACAAAGGTGGGTTACCCAT